ATATGCCCTATTTAGTTTTTCTATTGCAAAAATAAAGACGAGAGGAGGGGTAGGGAGAGAGGGCGGAAGAAAGAAAATCGTAAATATACAGCTTCAGAGACATGGAAGAGAAGAGTTAAACCTCTATTTTCCTCTTTCTAGAGAGGCTTTTGATGGATAAATTCTCAAATAAATAAGGCTATCAAACTTTTGAAGGCATATATAATCAAAGAATTTAGAAAAAAGCATTAGACAGAATTCAACATTGCTTTGTGATTAAAAACTCTCAACAAATTAGATATAAAAGTAATGTACCTCAACATAAAAAAGTCTCACATGAGAAATTCACAGCTAACATTATACTTAGTGGGGAAAAGTTAAAAACTTTCTTTTAGATCATAAACAAGACAAGAATCGCCACTCACAACACTTCTATTTAATAATATAGCATAAAAAATCCTAACCAGAGCAATTAGTCAAGAAAAATATAACAAATAAAAGGTATTCAAACCAGAAAAAAAGCTAAATTGTCTCTATTTGTGGATGAAATGATTTTATGTGTAGAAAACCCTTAGTCTCCAAGGTCAAGGGGCGAGGTGGTGATTCAGGGGGAGATCTCATGAAAATCTAAAAGATACCAGAATGGAGAAAAGGGGCCAGGGGGAGGGAGGAGACGAGGGAAAAAGGAAACACTGGTAATTAAGATTGTCCAAATATATTGTTATATTATGTGCACATATGAATATGTAATGATGAATCTCATCATGTATAATTATAATGCACCAAAAATATGGAAAACACTCCTTAGTGTCCATAAGGAAAAATTGTTATTTCTTAAAAATTTAGTAAAACAGTGGAAGAAAAAAAAGATACAAAATCTGTTGCATTTCTACATGTTAACAATGAACTATCTGAAAAAGAAGTTTAAAATAATAATCTCATTTACTGTTTTATCACATAAAAGTAAAATTAAAATACCAAGAAGATTAAAGATCTGTACTCCAAGAACTCTAATAATATTGATATAAAAAAATTGAAGAGATGAAAATAAGTAGAAAGTTACCCTGTATTCATGGATTAAAATAATTAATATTATTAACATATCTACATTACTCAAATTTAAGTACAAATTCAATATAACCTGTCAAAATTCCAATAGTATTTTTAACAGAGTAAATGTTCTAAAATTCATGTATAATCATGAAAGTCTCTAAAATGCCAAAGTTATCTTGATCAAGAAGAATGAAGCTGAATGTATCATGCTACCTGATTTCAAAATCTACTACAAAGATAAAGTAATCAAAATAGCATAGTTCTTGGATGATAACAGATAAACCTTTTTAACAGAGTAAAGAGCCCAGAATGGAATCCACTTTTACTGACAAAATGATCAAAAACCCACAAAAGGGAAAGGACAATGTCTTCAATGGATAGTGTTGGAAAAACTGGATATCTACATACAAAAGAATAAAATTGAATCCTAATGACATACCATTTTCAGAGATAAACCCCAATGTACTAGAAACTGAAATGTAAGATCTGAATCAGTAAAACTAGTAGGAAAAAAAACCCACAGGGAATAGTTTCCTGATATTGGTATAGGCAATAATTTCTTAATCTGACACCAAATATATCAACAAAAGTAAAAATGATAAATGGGATTGCATCAAACTAAAAAGCTTCTGAAGCAAGTAAAAGAATATTCTGTTGGGGGGGCAAAATGGGCAAAAGACCTAGTAGACATTTCTCAAAAGAAGAAATGCAAATAACCACAGATATATGAAAAAATGTTCCACATCACATCATGAGATACAAATTGAAACCACCATGAGATTTCCACCTTATATTTGTAAGAATGACTTATTAAAAAGCAACATACAAGTGTTGGCAATGATGTGGATGAAAGCGACTCTAATGCAGTTTTTGTGGTAATGTGAACTGATATAGCCATTATGAAAAATATTATATAAAAATATAAATATATTATAATATAAAAATATATTATAATATTATGAAAAATATTCCTCAGAAAATTTAAAATAAAAATACTCTATGACTCAGCAATATCACTCACGGTTATACATTCAGAGAATTAAAATTAAGATGCCAAAGAGGTATCTATCCCATGTTCATTGCAGCATTGCTCACAATAACCAAGATATGGAATCAACATAAGCATTCACTGATGGATGAATGGAAAAAGAAAGTATGCTACACACACACACACACACACACACACAATGGAATATTATTCAGCCTTTAAAAGAAAGAAATCCTGTCATTTGTGACTGCATGGATAAACCTGAAGGACATTATGCTAAGTGAAGTAAGCTAGGCACAGAAAAACAACTATTATATGATCTCACTTATATGTGGAATCTAAAAGTTGAATTCCTACAAGCATAGAATAGAATGGTAGTTGGTAGGGGTTAGGAGGTAAGGGCTAGAAGAAATGGGGCAATGTTGATAAAAGGGCACAAAATTTTAGTTATTCATGATGAATAACTGCTAGAGATTTAATGTATAGCCCATAACTACAGTCAATAAAACTAGTCTGTATATTTGGAATTTGCTAAGAAAATAGATCTTAAATATTCTTATTTCAAATGTAATATTGTCTTTATGTATACCAAAACATCATCTCATACACTATAAATATATGGAGTTTAAAGTTTCACTAATATCAACAAAGTTGGGAAAAAAAAATCCTTATAAGAAATGAAAGTGTATCAGGTAATCATAAATCAAAAGGGTTATTTGAAAGAAAACAAGTAAACCTTTAAACAGAAAAAAATGTTCTTTATGCTTTGGTGGGGGGCATTCCAGGAATTGAACTCAGGGGCACTCAACCACTGAGCCACATTCCTAGCCCTATTTAGTATTTTATTAGAGATAGAGTCTCACTGAGTTGCTTAGCGCCTTCAGTAAATTGCTGAGGCTAGCTTTGAACAGAAGCAATCCTCCTTGCCTCCGCCTCCAATCCTCCTTGCCTCTGCCTCCCTAACCTCTGGGATTACAGGTCTGAGTGTGCCACAGAGCCTGGCCATCTTTATGCTTTTTAACAGAAATATTCTTTTTATAATAAATTTTTTCTACTATGTGGAACATGTTATGTAACTGTAGATTCTCCTTGATTTCTTTAATTCTAATCATCTCAGAATCGAAATTTATCTTTGCCAGTATATGATGTTATTATTTTAGTTCTACATAAGATAAATGGTTATTTTAAGCAGCAAACATAAAAAATTGTAATGAATAAAGGTAAAATAGTTTCTATCCTAATTGCTTGTATTACCTAGAATTTGGAAATCAAAATGATAATTTTTCTACCTATTGTACAGTTTTTCTTTAATACAAAAAAAGTAGATTATAAGTTGACTTTTAAAAGAGATCACAGATAGTGTTGATTTTTACAGCTAAAAGGAAAATCAATACAAAGCTCAAAATTACTAGGATTTTTTTTATATTACATTTTCTGTTTTCTGAAAATAAGGCAAATTGGAATCCAAGCAAAAGCATCCTTAAGCATTAGTTTCTTTTTTAAATGGAATAAAATCACAAAAAGTAAATAGTGACAGAGCAAAGGGTTTACTAAGGATGATTTTTCTTGATTCATAATCTTCTGCAATTAGTATGACCTAATTAGGACAATTCTTGCAAAATCATTATAAACATATATACTGTGGAAATTCATAACTGCCTGAAACTATAAAAAAGGAAATTCTTTAGTTCTAAGTCAGACAAAGCTTGGTTTCAACTTCTCCCTGCAGGTGATCTCACATACCATCCAGTACAGACAAATCTACAGTTAAGTCTGTAAAGCTAACCTTCCTCAGGACAAAGAATTTTAAGAACACAAGTCCCTACTCACCAGAGTAAATATCAAACCAGTTTTGCTGCTTCTCTTGACTCTGACTTCGTTTTTCAGTGTTGCCTTTTTTCCAAGCTAACTTCCATATTATCCCAGTTCACTAGATGTCTACTTCATTTCTTACGTCTTAGCCTTATATTTTAGTACCTATCTGACCCTCTGCTTTACTGTCACTCACTCTTTCCTTGGAAATGAGATTTTCCCCCAGGCCCTGGTGAAACACTACTGCCCTTCATCTTCCAGAAGACTGTGAGATACTGCATATATAGTTGGTTTTTCTTTCCTTCTTTTGGAAATATCTCACTGGTATCAAGCTCATGAGATAAGGAAATGGAAGGCATCAGCAGGTGGAAAATGGACATTTTCTCTGTGTTCGAGAACCCAAAGAGAATGTATAAAATAAGAAATACTGTTGAAAATAAAAAATCTAAGGGTTTCCTTCTTCTATCTTTACTTGAATCATCTTTAAGGGAAAGGGAAAGAAACAGAATGTACTAAGTAAGATAAAGAATGATGAAGAAAAGTTGAAGCCCACATACAGTAAGGAGACAGACATGAAATCTTGCTGGAATCAAACTCAATGTCAGAAACAGAATCAGTAACACAGGATACAAAATCTAAAAATGATAGCCAGGACTTACAGTGGTTTGGATCTTAAATGTGTACCAGAGGGACATGTGTTTAAGGCTTAACCCCCAGCTTGGTGCTATTGGGAGGTGATGGCATCTAAAGAAGTGGGGCCTAGAGGAAAGTTTTAGGTCATTGAGGGTATGATCTCAGAGAAGATGTGAGACCCAGGTCTCTTTCTTTCTTTTCACTTCCCCTCCATGTTTATTTCACCACACACTGTATGTTATAATGTGCTTTAGCACAGGACCAAGTGCAATTGAGCAGCCAACTGACTCTGTCTGAACCCCTAAAACTGTGAGACAAAAATAAACCTTGTTTTCTTTGTAAGTCCATTCATCTCAGGTAGTTATAGTAATGGAAAGCCAACACAAGGTCCCTCGGCATCAGACTTATAATAAGCTGCTCCTCAGCAAGGTAACAAAGGAGCCTCACTGAAACACAATAAACTAAAAAACAAACAAATAAATCAATAAATTCATAGAGCTACAGAATGTCTTAACTTGACCTTAAGAAATAATACCTTAGAGTCGCCAGCTCAGGCCACCAACAGAACATAGCAGGAAGTGCAGGACAAAGAGATGCATGGTCAGCAGATAAAGAAACTTAAAAAATAAAGAAAAATCGACTTAGGGAAACCTGTGGTTTACACAGGAAAGCTGATTTTAACCGGCACAGACCTGGTAGGGAAAGCATCTCAGTGAAAAACAAATCCAAAGCGTCCTGCTGGGGGCCAGCGTTCTGTAGTACAGGCAGCCCTCCATGGGCAACCTTCCGCTAGTGCATCAGGGAAAGCCCTCCCCCGTGATGGTGCAGCGTGGAAAGTCTTCCGAGAATGTGGAACGCAATAGTAGATAAGGAAAATGATCCCATGTGCTGAAGGCTGTCCTCACACAGTTTGCACAGCTGTGAACAGAGACAGGAGACTAGAAACTCATAAAGGAAGTTACCAGCAGCTGATAAAAATATTCCCAGAGGGTGCCTGAACCAGAGAGGCTGAATTATGCACAAAGAACATTTTATCTGGACTGTATTCAGCCTCTGTATACCAAGGGAGAAAAATCGCATGATTGATGGCACCCCATAAAAGTTATTGTGAAGATGCTCACTGAGGCCACACAGTGCTCTAGGGTGGATGCTGGCAATTCACATCCATAGTGTTGAAGATGAAACCTGTGGAGGCTCATTCCCTATGCCTTAAAGTGGATTTTTCCAGAAGCCCCAGAGAAGAGATCCAAAAGCCCAACAGAGATAAGAAGCTCCACACCACTAAGGGAAGTGGACCAGATCCCAAATACACACCCAAAGAATTCCAAATCCCAGTTAAGTCCAACTGGAAATAGCAACCTAAAATTCTGTGTCACCTACCTTACAGGATTACACAATTCATCAGCACTCCCCAGTCTATCCCCCCCAATACCGGGAGATTGGAAGCTGAGTGCCTCTACAACCAGCTGTCAGCTAGGTGAGGAACACAAGGACAGGGGCCAGAAGTATAAAGCCAAAAATAAATATAAAGATTTTAAATCCCTCCCTCCCAACAGATTTGACCACTACAGCAGGGAAAAACCCTCTATCTTCATTAAGATGTGTTTTTTTTTTCTTTTTTTGTCTTTTGTCTTGTTCTTTCTTTCCTTCATATTCCCATTTTTTTACTCTTTTTAAATTTTAATGTTTTCTTCAATATTATTTCATCATTGTATTATTCTACACTTTTGTTTCATTATGCATAATTTTTCTGTGTTTGTGGTTGTGTATGTTCTCACTGTATGGATAGATTTGAATATATATATATATATATATATATATATATATATATATAACATATATAATACTTTATACATACATTTATAAATAAGTAAATATAAGTGTATATATATATGTATATATATACATATATAGAGAGAGAGAATTGTAAATTTGGGGGGGGAGATTTGTTTGCCTGTTTTTTCTTGTTTTCAGAGGTTTTGAACTTGCACATCAACTGAGATGGTTTCTTCTTTCTCTTTTTAACACACGTGCTTTTGTTTGCAGTTATCTTTTTTGTTCTGAGACTTCTCTTTCTTTTTGAGATGTAAGTAGATGTCAAGGATAGGACCTGATGTCCCTATCTGATTGTTCTTCCTTGCATCCTTGTTGTTGGTTTGGGTTTTTTTCTCCTCAATTTTTTGAGTTAGAGTAATATTAAAGGTAGATGGGGCTAGATTTTGTGTGGGGTGAGATTCACTGTTCCTTGCTTAAGATGTGAGTATTTCTTAGGAGCAGGAGAGCTGCTATGTAAACTTGAAATGTCCCAATCTTTCCAACCCTCTATCATGAAGGGGAGCCAGGAATAGCACTAATATCAGCAGTAGATGAAGAGCCTTAAGATAAATGTTTGAGACCTATTTTGATACCTAATAACACTTATTGTCACCTGTATAGGAATAATGGCAACATTAAATAGCAGTAGTAACATTAAAAAACTGAACGAGATTAGGCATTCAAGAGCAGGTATCTACTATGTGGATTAATATCCAGAATACACAAAGAAATAAAAAAATTAACACCAAAAAACCAAGTAACCCAAATCAATAAATAAGGAAAGAAAAAACTAAACAGAAATTTATCAAAAGAAGAAACACAAAAGGCCAATAAATACATGAAAAAGTGTTCATCTCTAGTAATCAGAGAAATACAAATTGAAACTCCACTAATATTTCATCTTACTCCAATCAGAATGGCAATGATCAAGAACACAAATAATAATAAATGTTGGCAAAGCTGTTGGGAATAGGTGCACTTTATTGTTGGTGGAATTGCAGTCTAGTCCAACCACTCTGGAAAACAGTATGGACATTCTTCAGAAAACTAGGAATGAAACCACCACACGATGCATCTATCCCACTCCCTGGTATTTTCCCAAAATATCTAAAATCAGCATACTATAGTTATACAGCTATCTCATTTATAGCAGCCCCATTCACAATAGCTAAATCATGGAATCAAACCAGGTGTGCCCATCAATAGGTGAATGGATTAAGAAATCATTATATATATATGGAGAGAGAGAGAGAGAGAGAGAGAGAGAGAGAGAGAGAGAGAGAGAGAGAGAGAGATTCTCAGCCATAAAAACGAATAAAATTATGGCACTTGCTGGTAAATGGATGCAAATGAAGACTGTCATACTGAGTGAAATAAGCCAAACTCAGAAACTCAAAGGTCAAATGTTTTCTCTCATATAAGGAAGCTAAATAAACTAAAGAAAAGGAGGAGGGAAGGATAGGACATCACCAAGATGTAGGGAAGTTCAGTAGTGTAGAAGAAAATTGAGAAACAGAAAGGAGGAATGGGAAAGGGATGGCCATGCAGAATAATTTTTTTTAAAAAAAATCATGTTATGTGCATATAAAAATATGCCACAGGATATTTTACCTTTATGTGTAAGTAAAAAGAATAAACTAAATATAAATAAATACATTAGCAAAAGGAAGTCTAGAAGAGAGGAAGGAGAATGAGGGCGGGGAGGGAGCAAGTGAGGGAAAAGGGGTAGTAAGCTGAAATCCAATTCCACTCATGTATGAGTTTGTTGGAATGAACCCAACTATTAATAAAATTAAATAAATGAAAGAGTGAATAAAACACAAATAAAAAATTATTTATTGTTTGCTTGGTTTTTATTTTGTTTATTTCAGTGGTGCTCACCAACTACTCAGAAAAAACATCCAAAACAACAACTAAATTAGTTTTTCCTAACCAGAACAATGGGTATGGTTTGAATTACAGGACCTGGATTTGGGTATATATTTCATTTATGTTTACTTTTTTAAAAAGTGTCTTTTAGTTATATTTTAATAAAATAGAATAAAATTATTTTTATTCTATTTTATTCTCTTTTGAAGTGACTGATTCAGCTACTTAAGAATTCTGTGACCTTGAATGAGTTCTTTTATGTCTTTAAGCTTCAGTTTCTTCTATAAAACAGTCATAATAACAGTCAGTACTAGAGAATGCTAACAAGATGAAGTAATGCCTACAAAGTAGTTAGTTCAGTGTCTGGCACACCACTAATAATTACTTGATCATAATCATTAGTGTAACTAATAACTATTGTTATTTATCCCATTCATTTCTAAATAGATCAAAGTACATTTCTTACATCCTCACTAATACAATATATTCTTTTATTTTAGAAACATTTTGAAAGGAGTCTAATTTTTTAAGAAAATTCAAAAGAGGCCTTTTAAAGAAGTAATTTGATTTGTGCAAAAGTGGCTTAGAAAAGTCATGCCTTTTCTTGGGTATTAATCAGGTAAAAGGAGAAACAGCACTAGGGCTTTCATCTCCTTAACCTGGAGTTTTCCAAAGACTTCCCAAAAGGCAAAAGTGATTCCTGTCAGCTCTAGTCAATTTGAAAGACAGTTCAAATTTCTGAAAGCAGAGCAGGGCATAATGAACAATTTCTCTGTGATTGCTTAAGTGCTCTACTAAAAAAGAACAACTTGGATGAGGTTTCCTTTCATCATGTATAATATCTGTGGAATCCAAGTTAAGAACATGTGAGGATACTGATTTCTCTCAAATCCCTTTTTGATAAATTTTAATATAATCACAGGATCAGGAGACAGCTTTTAGTTTAAGTTTTCACTAAAAATAAGTAGTGAAAGATTCAGTAAGAGATGGCCTGCATTATCAGCCTGGGTGTCAAGGAAATCCACTGTTATAAACACTAGGCTTCAAAATGAGATGAATAGAAGCATCAAAGCAGCCATGTGATGACCAGATCATAACACAAAATAAACAGAATCAAATGGAAAATAAATTATGCTAGAACTTGGAGGAGAAATTGAGCTAATTGCCAACTCCACCTTCATCCTCAAGCCATCCTTCCTTTATTTTTTTTTTAATTTTTATTGTTGGTTGTTCAAAACATTACATAGTTCTTGACATATCATATTTCACACATTAGATTCAAGTGGGTTATGAACTCCCATTTTTACCCCGTATACAGATTGCAGAATCACATCCTTCCTTTATATTGAAAAAAAAATCTTCACTTTATCTCATTTTGCTTTTGAAGCCATTCTTTTTCTCCAAGTAAAACATAAATCCATATGACTATCTTTCTGTACCATTCTCTCCATTATTTATCACCATCATATCAGTTGTCAGAATTCCCTACCTTTTTAAAGCTGAATAATTCATGTGTGTGTGTGTGAATGTGTGTGTGTGCATGAGTGCACGAGTGTCACATTTTGTTTATCTCTTTGTCTATCAATGGACATTTGGGCTATTTTAACATTTGACTATTGTAGATAATGCTACAATAACACAAGTACAAAGGATCTGTTCAAGTCCTAGCTTTCAATTCTTTGGGGTATATACTAAGAAGTAGATTCACTAAGTCATGTAATAATTCTAATTAAGAGAATGTAAGAAATTTGCTCCAGGTCACACAGTTAATAAGTAGTAAAAATGGCATGTTAACTTAGATGCTATTATTTCCAGATTCTAAATTCCTTACTTCAAGTTATTAAAATAAAAAGCAATATTTTAATATCTATTAATTTTAAATATTAATGAGATTCAGTGTGGTATTTCAAAACATGAATACAGCATGCACTGCACAAATCCAACCTCCTTTTATCCCACTTTCCTCCTTCCTAACTTCTAGTAATCACTATGCTATATTCTGATCAATATTATTAAGCTTCCACATAGGAGACAGAACATGTGCTATTTGTCTTTCTGTGCCTGGCTTATTTCACTCATATCCTTCAGTTTCAT